CCCCGCGCCCTCGACACGCGCGACCCCAGCTGCCCTCAGCCCAGCACACCCGCGCCCCGGCCCACGAGGGCCCACGGCCCCAGCCGGACGGCGGCCTGGGGAACGTGGCTGTTCTGCTTCTACCCCACCGCCAACGGGGACAGAAAACAAAGAGTCCTTTCCAGGTGCCCAAAGCCCGTACAAGCCGCTAAAAGTGGTTGCCCAGCCCGGCACCGCCTGCGGCCGCCATTTTGTACCACTCTAGACCAGGCGGCCAGGGAACGGCGGCCATTTTAGAGCGCTCCACTCAGCAGCGGCGGCGTCTCCACTCACCTTCACCGAGAACTCAGCAGCTGCCACTGCAGCTGCCTCCTCAGGATCCGGTCGTCGGGGACGGGGAAGGGAGAGGGAAGGGGAATGGAAAACAAAAAAGGGGGAGGGAAGGGGGAGGAAGGAGTCGGGAACGGCTTGAAACGCTCAGTTCAGAGGAATCGCCGCTGCAGCCAACACCCGGTACCCACGGCCACCTCCATAGAGCTCCAAGTCGCTGCTGGCGCTAAGGCGTGTCTGCAGCCGAACTATCACTCAGGGGCAGCCAAACCCACCGGAGTCGCCGCGAATGGCTCCCTCATCGTCCAATCAGCAGACGGGATGCTGTCCGCCACCAATCCGCGCAAGGCGGAGGGGCGAAGCTACAGGGCTAAGCTCGGTTGAGCCGCAGCCGCGTCGCAGTGCGCAAAGCCATATTCGCGAAGGCTCTGAGGCCAAGCAAATGGCGTAAAGGAAATAGCATGTGGGCTGCTTGCGTAAAGAGGAAGAGCCTTTCGGAGCGAGTTTGCGTTGGTGTGGCAGTCTCATCTTCTTCCAGTCTCTTTGTTCCTTGAATCCCTATCCTAAACTTAATGTATACAACCTCCTCTCCCTCTACCTTTTCCTCCCATCAGGAATAAGGGGGAAAATACTGCCTTCTCCTACCACACTCAATTTTTGTGGATGGATAGCGTGTTTAAGCATTGATTTTTCTGGCGCCCCTGTTCCACTGGGACCTGTGAGAGCCCCTCGCGGGCCCGGCCTCCCGGGCACAGACCCGGAAGATCGAGGCCTGGAGTCCCCGAGACGCAAAGCTAGGAGTCTCCCGGGCTCCAGGCCCGGGGCTTCGGCCGCCAGGGGGTGCGGGGTCTGGAGGGCAGGGTCCCGGAGACTGGACGGTGCACGCACATGCCCCACTGACTCTTCACTGAGCTCCATGCTCCTCCACCCTTTGCAAAGTGAATTAGAAAGTGGTGGAAGGGTTTATTGTTCTTTGCACAGCCCCCCCAAAGGAATGTCCGGTCTTCGATTACGGAGAAAATACCCAGAATATGCCAGACTCCTCTACAAGTGTGCAGAGGACTGGAGACTGGGCCATTTTGGGGTTTTTGCTTTTGTTTAACACTTTAAAGACTATCAGTTGTGTATTTAATTTTATATCTTCCACTATACGAAGTAGGATTAGGTTTTGAACATTTTAAAGGATGGGTACCGTAAGTAAGTGCATCATATTTACAATATTTTAGCTACACAAAAATGGAGTATACTTCAGGAAACTCCAAATTTCCCCATCTTCGTTTTTAACATCAGACAATGTATAATCAAAAGCAAGAAAGTGTGTGTGTAAAGTGTTAGCGTGAATGACTTTCAAAGAAAGAATACAATACAGGGCAGGATTCTTTTAAACCAAAACTTCCATTTCACCATGTTAAAACATTTTTTAATGTTAAAAGTGCTACGTCTTAATATAATTGTCAGGAGAGTTGTACATATTTTCCTAGGATGTTAAAATAATAGGATAAAGGATTTAACATTAACTTAGTGTTTAAATAGCGTGTGCATTGACTGTTTTCTAATCCAATTCCACATAAGAGAGGATCCCTTCCCCATCGTATTACTATAATTACGGCTATCAAATTTTAATTAAACTTGAACAACTGGAGAAGATATCTTACTTTGGGAATAGCAACATAAAAAACCATTATTTTAGGGAAAAATGAAAAATTTTGTTTCAAATACGAGTTCTCAATATATAATTGTCGGATTGTAGGACCCTTCTGGCTTCAGAATAACTATATATATATATATATATATATTTTTTTTTTTTTTTTTTTTCTTTTTTTTTTCTCTACATTTATTCTCTACCTCAACTGCCTGCCCTTAGGTTGTCAAGGCTTTAATCATTACGGAAGCAGAGCCCCAGGGTTTCCCCCTAGAGAGCCACTGGTGGGTTCTAACCACAAGCATAGCTCTTAACCACTGTGCCACCAGGGACATGTGACTTTACAGTTGGCAAAAATGCATATATATAATTTGATTTTTTTTTTACATATCTGTCTTACTGTCTTTATAATTGATAATCTGATAGGAAGAACAGTGTATAAAAAGGTACAGTCAAAGGCTTCAAAGGAGTCTTGGTGGCGTTCTTAATCTGTAGAGCTGCTAACTTAGATTTACAGTCTTGGAAACTTGATTCAAGGGTCGCTATGAATCAGAATGGACGTGTTGGCAGTGCATTTTTGGTAGACTTCAAAAGAAAATATTACTCTTACAGTAAAACCTTGATTTTAAATAACTGGAAAAAGCAGTAATTAAAGAGACAGTTTTGTGTAATCTTTTATACTCTTGAACTCCTTGGCTTTGGGCTTTGTAAGTATGTATTTAAAAACTGACCTGGAAGAAAGTTAAACTAGAGGGAAAAATGTGGATAAAATGGAACTTTAGTCACTAAGGGGGATGGATGTTTAAAATTTCAAAATACTTCTAGCATATGTAGATGTGCCATTGCATGGAATTTAGCTTTTTAGTTAATAGAAAATTGAATTTTAAACATAATTTCAATCTGCTTCCAGTTACTTATTATTATGCATCAGAAAGCTAAACAATGACTAGGGATGATAGAAGGAAAATAGATGCCTTTGAGCAGTGGTGCTGGAGAAGAGTATTGACATTACCATGGACTGCTAGGAGAACAAACAGGTCCTTCCCGGAGAGGGTGAAACCAGGCTGCTCCTTGGAGGCAAGGATTCTAAAGCTACCTCTGACATACTTTGGGCATGTTGCAAGGAGGGACTAGTCCTTCGAGAGGAACATCATGCTTGGAAGGGTGAAAGGACAGTGCAAGACAGGAAGATGCTGGAGGAGATGGATTGGCTGAGTGACTGGGGTAATGGAGATAGATGTGTCAAAGACAATGAGGTTGGCTCAAGGTAGAGCAGGGTTAAGAGCTGTTGTACATAGGGTACGTAACAACAACAACAACTTTAGTCTGCTTGTTTTAAACTTCATTTGATGCCACAGTTTTACATGAGATTAAAAATGCTTAGCATCTTGATGGACTTGATAAGTCATACATTTTCCCATTATTTTAACTAATGACCATTTCAAATTTATTCCAATGTCTAGTGCTCTTGAATTTCCAACCGAGATCTCTGACTTAAACCTCAGTTCTGAATTTCTAATAGTATAATACCCAAAGGTGAAAACTTGAGATATATGTAGTTTGGGCCACACAGTAATTTTTAGCATTTTATTTAGTTGACATTTGAATATTAGAATTTACATACAAACCCAGATTTCAACATTTTCATGAAGAAGAAAAAAAAGATAAATCTGGAAATATTGAGCCTGAAATTCCCATAGAGTTCATTCAAGTCCAGCTGAGGAATGACTGGCTCCTTTGGATCTTTTCATCTTACCTCGAGTGAAAGTTGGTAGTCTTTTATTTTTATTTGAGTGAAAGTTTACAAATCATGTTAATAATTTTACATGCATTTTATGTACCTTTCCAGCCCCCATAGTAAAGCAATTTTGTTCCATTTTTTTAAAGTCATCTATTAAAATTTTTCCATTTTAAAACCTTTTCAGGTTCAAAATCTAACTGCCAGACCGCTAAAATTCAGATATCTTCTCTACTACTTATTAGACAAATTTGCCAAGTTGCTCTTTTTCAGTTTCAGAATTTGTAAAATAAGAATAACAGTATATATAGACTTATAAAGATTAGATAAAACAATACATGTAACACAACGTAGAGCCTGAGGGTAATTACCTAATCAATGTCTGTTGTTGTTAGTTGCCATTGAATCCACCCTAACCCCTGGCAACTACATAAACTCATGTGCAATGGAACACAATATTTTGGGTTCTGCACCATCACCACGAGTAACTGTAGTCATGATCATAGAGAGCTCTTTATTCCTAACTAGTCCCAGCCTAAAAAGTCCACTAAAATCGGTTCGGAATCACAGCCTTCACTGATAGAAGTGGATTCGAAGGGTGTCTGCATATAGTATGCATTGACTAGAACCAAACCTAGGTTTCCTGCATGGATGATAGAATTTCACCACTGATACACACATTGTCGTAGTTAAGTGCCATCGAGTCGCAGGCGACTCATAGCGACCCTATGAAGGAGAGTCCTCAACACTTGTGTGTCTCTCTTCCTCTCTCCAGGTTCATAGGGTTTCCAAAGGCAAGCTATTACAGAAGTGGATGCCGCTCCTGCTTCCAGATACACATGTAGACACACAAAATAAACTCATAGAGCCAATTCCAACCCATGGTGACCTCCTCTCTTATGAAAAAACCTGCCCCATAGGCTTCTTGGTTGTAGTCTTTACAGGAGCAAATGACCAGGTCTTTCATTAGTGGCAGCACTGGGTAGGTTCAAACTACCAGCCTTTAATTGTTGAGCATAAACTATTTGTGCTTACTGAACCATCACTGTGCTCCTAATATTAGTTAGTACATTACCAGTTCTTTCCGATTACTTTGTTGTTGGGTGCTCATGAGTTGGCTCTGACTCATATCGACCACAGAGTATGCTGCCACTGCTGTTATTTGTATATAGAGATGCCATGAACAACAGATCTGAACCCTGTCCTGTGTCATCCTCATCGTCTCTGACATACTTGAAGCCATTGCTGCAGTCATTATGTCAGTCCATCTCATCGAGGGGCTTCCTCCCTTTTGCTGACCATCTTTCCAAGCATGATGTCCCTTTCCAAGAAATAGTCTCTCCTAACAATATGCCCAAAGTATGTTAGATGAAGCCTGTCAACCTTACCTCCAAGGAGCACTCTGGCTTCATTTTCTCCAAGACATGCCTGTTTGTTTTTTTGGCAATGTGTGGGATATTCAGGACTCCTCTCCAACACCACAACTTAAAGGCATCAATTTGTCTGTCATCCTTATTCTTGTCTAGCTCTCAGCAGCATAGAAAGTGATTGAAAAGGCCATGGCCTGAATCAGGCACACGTTAGTACTCTAACAGTAAAAAACCAGAATATATCAAAAGGCAGCCTGAGAATACTAAGTAAAATAACAAAATAAGCAAAGGCTCAGAAAACCAAAAGGGAAGAACATTTTCAGCTTTCTCAAGCTGAAAGAGTGGATGAAAAAAATTCAAGGCTTGAGTTATAACAGTGAAGGAAGCTATGGGCAATACAAAGACTTAGTATACTGAATAAAGAATTAATCAATGTTTAACCATTGCAAAAGGTAACATAATAAACAACTGTTGGTATTGAAGAAAGACGTCCAAAGTGCACTGAAGGCATTTGTGAAAAATATTAATTGATATAGTACTAATTGAGATAAATTGACAAAGGGATGCAACATTGGAAGTACTCACTTTTCTATAGCAAGGCAGCACCTGGCCAACTGACTATGCCCATTCATTATAAAGAAGGGAGTTCAGCTGAATGAGGACATTATCTAATAATATGCACAAAAAATATGGCTGAAGAGAATTTTTAAAAAATTGGAGCAATACATTGACAAGAAACTGCCACAATTCAAGCAGGATTCAAAAGAAGATATAGAACAAGTGACATTTCTAATGATTTTGGCTGAAGAGAATAATATTAATATGTTTAGCTGTGCTTTATTGACTATGTAAAGGCACTCAGCTGTGTGAATCATAGCAAATTAAGAATAATATTGTGAAGAACAGGAATCCAGGGTACTTAATTGTGCTCATGCAGAACCTTTATATAAAGCAAGATGTAATCACTCAAGCAGAACAAGTGGATACAGTGTGGATTGAGATCAAGGAATGCGTGCAGCAGAACTGTAGCCTCTCATCATACTTACTTAATTCATATGCTGAGCACATCTGAAAAGCTGTACAATATTAAGAATATGGTATCAGGAAAGAAGGAAGATTCATTAACAGTTTGTGATATGCCAATGATAAAAGCTTGCGTGATGAAAAT